AGGCATCCTGCAGAGCATTGGCTTGGTCTTTGATAAGTTATAAACCATAGAATCACACAGCACGGAACAGGACCTTCGGGCCTTTGAGTCCACACCCATAAAACTACTCTCAATCGACACTACTTCCACTTTCCCGCACTAGGCCCATAGCCTTGAATATTATGACGTATCAAGTACTCATCCAAGTACTTCTTAAAGGTTGTGAGGTTTTCTGTTTCAGCTCCCCTCCCAAGCAGTGCATTCCAGAGTCCCACTACCCTTTCACTTTAAAATTATACCCTCCTGTTCTTGACCTTTCAACTAAGGGAAACAGCTACTTTCTATCCACCTGTCCATGCCTCATAATCTATTCACCTCAGTCAGGTCCCCTGTCAGCCTTCTTTCATCTGAAGTGAACAACTTGAGCTTATCCAGCCTCTCTTCATAGCTTCTTTCTGAGGCAACATCCTGATGAATCTCCTCTGTACCTGCTCCAGTGCAATCAAAGCCTTCTTATAGTGTGGGGAACAGAACTACACATAGTACACCGACTGTGATCTAATCAAAGTCCTGACAGCTCCAACATAATCATCCTGATTTTATCATCTAAGCCACAATTAATAAGTGTGCTGTATTCCTTCCTAACTATCCTAATAACCTGTTCTGCTACACTCAGGGATGTGTGGACAAACACCTCAAGATCTCTCCATATTTCTGATCTTCCTAGTGTCCAGGCCATTGATTTTCTTGTTACTTCTTCCAAAATGCATAACTTCACTTTTATTAGTCTTAAATGCTATCTTCCATCAATCTGCCTATCTGACCAGTCTGTCTTATTGCACTGCAATCTAACACTCTCCTCCTCATTGTCAATCACCCAGCCAATCTTCACGTCATCCGCAACCTTACTTAACATTTTCCCTACATTTTTTTCTTTATACTTTAAATATATATCATAAATATTAAGGGAACCAGCACTGATCCCTGTGGTACACCACTGCACACTGGCCTCCAGTCACACAAACATCCTTCTACACCCTCCTCAGTCTCCTACCACTAAACCAATTCTGGATCCAACTGGCCAAGTCGTGGCATGGAGTTTTGACTGTGGGGACAGGATGGTGAGATCCTGGTTAGAGGCCCAGACTTTCCTTTGGAGAACAAGACAAACATGCCTGCTCATGATTGCAATGTCATTGGCACTGCCACACACAGATTTAACAACTTTGCTTCTAAATATTCCTTTCATGTAGTGAAATGGTCAAATGCACTTCATCCAATGAACTATCAAAGAAACTTTGACACTGAGCCCCATGAGAGATTGAGGCAGATGACTAAAAGCAGGACACTTGGTCAGTCTCCTCATCCACCGCCAATGCATATGGGAAGCAGTAGGTATCATCTACAAGATTCAATGTAACAAGTCACTAAGACTCCTTGGTAACAATCCTAGGCAGCAGATGCCTATGAACACCACCACCAATGAGTTGCCATCCAAGCCACATGGCATCCTGCTTTGAAACTATGTCACCATTCCCACTGGCACAGAATTCGGGAACTCTTTTCCTAATAGCACTATGGATGTACCTACACAACATAGGCGGCAGCTGTGCCAGCACCGATCTTTTTGCTTGGAGAAATGTAGGAAGGCAGAGAGGTTTAGGAAGAGAATTCCAGACTTTAGGACCGGGCCCGTGAGGAATATAAGGAAAGCAGGAAAGAACTCAAGCAGGAAATTAGGAGAGCAAGGAGGGACCATGAAATGGCCTTGGCAAGTAGGGTTAGAGAGAATCCAAAGGCTTTCTATAGACACATTAAAAACAGGAGGATAACTAGGGAGAAGGTAGGACCACTCCAAGATAAAGGAGGGAACTTGTGCTTGGAGGCAGAGAATGTGGGTGAGATCCTAAATGAATACTTTGCATCGGTGTTCACCCACAAAAAGGATACAAAAGATAGTGAGATTTGTGTGGAGCATGCAAATATACTAGGGCATTTTCAAATCAAGAAAAATGTGGTCTTAGATCTCTAAGGTGGATAAGTGCCCAGGGCCCAATGGTATCTACCCCAGGTTATTGAGAAAGGCAAGAGGGGAGATTGCTGGGATCTTGACCAAGGTCTTTGTATCCTCACTAGTCACTGGAGAGATCCTGGAGGACTGGTGAGTAGCTAATGTTGTTCCTCCGTTCAAGAAGGGAAACACAGAAAATCCAGGAAACTACAGACCAGTGAGTCTCACATCGGTGGTTGGGAAGCTACTGGAGAGTAATCTTGTGGATAGGATTTACCTACATTTGGAAAAGCATGGCCTAATTAGGGACAGTTAGCATGACTTTGCGCAGGGTAGGTCATGTCTTACTAACTAGATTGAATTTTTCGAGGAAATGACGAAGGTGATCTATGAGGGTGGAGCAGTGGATGTTGTCTACATGGATTTTAGTAAGGCTCTTGACAAGATGCCCCTAGGCTCATCCAGAAGATTAATACACATACGATCCACAGTGACTTGGCTGTCTGGATTCAGAATTAGCTTGCTTATAGAAGGCAAACGGCAGTGATGGAAGGGTGTTTTTCAGGCTGGAGGTCCATGACTAGTGGTGTTCCACAGCAATCCGTATTGGGAACTCTGCTGTTTGTAATATATATAAATGACTTGGATGAAAATGTAGATGGGTGGGTTAGCAAGTTTTCAGACAATACAAAGATCGGTGGAGTTGTGGATAGTCGAAAAGGTTGACAAAGGATACAGCAGCCTATAGATCAGTTGCAGATATTGGTGGAAAAATGGCAGATGGAGTTTAATCTAGGCAAGTGTGAGGTGCTGCAGTTTAGGAGATCACATGCTAAGGGAAAATATACAGTTCATGGCAGGACCCTGAACATCATTGATGTACAGAAGAATCTTGGGGTTCAAGTCCATTGCTCCCTGAAAGTAGCCACACAAGTAGATAGGGTGGTAAAGAAGGCATATGGCATGCTTGCGTTTATTAGTCAGGGAATTGAGTACAAGAGTCAGAATGTCATGTTGCACCTTTATAAGACTTTGGTTAGGCCACACTTATTATTGTATTCAATTCTGATCACCACATTACATTGAAGGATATGGAGGCTTTGGAGAGGGTACAGAAGAGGTTTACCACGATGCTGCCTGGATTAGAGGGTATGAGCTATAAGGAGAGGCTGGAAAAACCCGAGTTGTTTTCTCTTGAGTAGCACAGGCTGAGGGGAGACTTGGTAGGAATCTATAAAATAATGAAATGCATAGAAAGGGTTGACAGAATCTTTTTCCCAGATTTGAAATGTCTAGAACTAGGGGGCATGCATTTAAAGTTGGAGGGGGAAAGTTCAAAGGAGATGCATGGGGCAAGTTTTTTACACAGAGAGTGTTAGGAGTGTGGAACGCACTGCCAGGCGTGGTGCTGGAGGCAGGTCAGTAGAGGCATTTGAGGAAGTTTTAGATAAGCTCATGAATATGCAAGGAATGGAGGGATATTGACCAAGGGCAGGCAGAAGGGATTAGTTTCATTTGGTGTCATGTTCTGACCAATATCATGGTCCAAATGGCCGCTTCCTGCACTGTACAGTTCTATGTTCGGTGTTCTATGTAATTTAGCACCTAGGCACACCCAGCAGTGACAGAGCAATCGAGCTGAGAGGCCACAGTTCCTTGACAATGGAGTCGCAGGTAGACAGGATAGTGGAGAAGGTGTTTAGTACTTTCTCGGTCAGTGCATGAGTATAGGAGTTGGGAGGTCATTTCTGTGGCTGTATAGGACTTTGGTTAGGCCACTTTTGGAATACTGTGTTCAGTTCTGGTCTCCCTGCTTTGGAAAGATGTTTGAAACTTGGAAGGGTTCAGAAAAGATTTATAAGAATGTTGCCAGGGTTGGAGGATTTGAGATATAGGGAGAGGTTGCATAGGCTGGGGCTATTTTCCCTGGAGCATTGGAGGCTGAGAGATGACCTTGTAGAGGTTTATAAAATCATGAGCGACATGGATAGGGTGAATAGTCGAGGTCTTTTCGCCAGGTGGAGGAGTCCAAAACTAGAGGCATTCAAGGTGAGATGGGAAAGATTTAATAGGGACCTAAGGGGCAACTTTTTCACGCAGAGGGTGGTGTGTGTATGGAACGAGCTGCCAGAGGACGTGGTGGAGGCTGGTACAGTTACAACATTTAAAAGGCATCTGGATGGGTATATGAATAGGAAGGGTAATGCTGGCAAATGGGACTAGAATAATTTAAGATGTCAGCTCGATATGGATGAGTTGGACCGAAGGGGCTGTTTCAATGCTGTACATCTCTATGACTCTATAACTGAGAGGAATGCAGGTAACCCTGACATTGGGTGGGGCAGTCGGAAATTTCAAAGGTATGGAGAGGTGAAGCTATGAAGGCATTTGAACTCGAGGATGTAAATTTTAAAATTGAGGTGATGCTTGACTAGGAGTGGGGCAGCACAGTGGCTCAGTGGTTAGCACTGCTGCTCACAGCACCAGGGACCTGGGTTTGATTCCAGCCTCAGCCAACTGTCTGAGTGGAGTTTGCGTATTCTCCCCGTGTCTGCATGAGTTTCCTCCCACAGTCCAAAGATGTGCAGGTTAGGTGGATTGGTTGTGCTAACTTGCCCCTTAGTGTCTTGGGATGTGTAGGTTAGGTGGATTAGCCATGGGACATGGAGATAGGTTAGGAATTTTCATCTGGGTGGGATGCTCTTCAGAGGGTCAGTGTGGGCTGAATGGCTTGCTTCCACAGTGTAGGGATTCTATGAGCCAATATAGGCCAGCACAGGCAAAATTTGAACTCCTTTTCCTGTGCTAGACAGAGCCAATTGCAACTTTCCTTCAGGTCTTCTTAGTACCAGCTAAAGGCTCCCCACTCGTAATACCATATGGAGTCACATTTACATCCCTTTTCAGATTACATATTGCAAGATTTTGCTAATTTGGTCGTTTCCTGTTATAACAAGTACACTCCCACCCAGTTGTGATGTCAACTGCTTCCTGCCCGTTCTCAGTGAACTCTCGGTGTCTTTGAAGCATGTTGGAAGAATGTCTGAAAGGGTAGACACTACGGGGAATAGTACTGGGATATTTTCTAAGGTAAGTGTTTTGTCATGCACAAGAGTTGGCCAGACGTAGTCTTAGGCAAACTCTGTAAAACCAAAGGCGTTATTGCATTTTAGATTGATGTGTTTTAGTTATGAACTGGCTTTTTAAGTTGAGAACAATATCAGAGGCAAGTGAACACGGAGAAGAAAATCTTAGGTTCAGCTGGTAACTCGCTACCTCCTCTAAAGCTTGCTTCCTGCCTTTTTCTCTTTCCATGTTTAGGTGCCACCTGTTATGACAAACAGCGTTTTGAAAGCACATCATGTTTACTTTGCACTTAAAATAATATCAAATTCCCAGTGCATGCAGTAAGAAGCTAAGGCTGCATACACTGGAAAGTCAGAATAGTCAGAAAAATAATCCAATCCGCAAGGAAATATTTTAACTATTCTCAAACTACATGTCTGTAAATATGTAGGCACATGTTCTGCTTTAATTTTAATCTTCATGGATCTCTGGTGCAGAAGGTGACAGTGACCCATACCCAAGCTCTACAATTTGGGCCCAAACCTTTCCTTTTTCTCTCAACTCCTCTAAGACCCTCCCTAAGATCTACTTGTTTGACTATGCTATGGAGTACCTGTCCTAATATGCCATTCTTTAAACTAACATATTTTTGTTGAGAAATATATTGCTTGCTTCATTTTAAATTAGGTCTTTGAATTAGTCTTTAGCCTGTATGATTTGAAGAATGATAACATTTTAATTTTTAATGTTATTTCTTTATTTTTCTACCTTATACTAAGAAGGACTGTAATTTTAACTTTTAACTTTGTTTCTTTATTCTTCTACTTCATGCTTCAGATGTCGTACCTAAGTACATTTGTACCTAAGATGGCCCGGGAATTGGTGACGTACCCTTTTCACTGTATTCCTGTACTTGAGTACATGTGACAATAAAATCTAATTCTATTTCTTCTTTGATTCATGTCAAAATACTGAATACTGAAATAACTGCAGAGAGACCGGTATCCCATCACCAAGTCACCCTCTATTTGCTTGTGCACAGAACACTGACTGTAACCAGCCAGCTCAGAGTCAGACCCCCGGAACTGAGGAGATTCTAAATCCTCTACTTATATTGGTTAGCCAGGCTTTTCTGATTGACCCAGGTGAAGGATCTTGTAGTCAATGAGGTCAACCACTACATCCCTTCCCCCAGTAAGTCTGGGGATGTAGGCCTGTTCTTTCTCTTGTATGTTTTCCTGCAACGTTTTCATCCTGGGTCCGGTTCCTCTGATTCTGACTCTGATACAGGCGGCATGTATTGGACTGTAGCTTGTCTCTTGTTTCCGGAGCATCTCGGGAGAGTTTCCTTCTTTTTTGGCGGTGATGATATCGAGGCTGTATCCATTTCAGACTCTCACGCCAGGCGAAGGAAGAGAACCTACAGTTTCTGACAGGCTTTGTGGCCATTCTGAGGGGCCAGGTATGTTTTACTCCTGCCCCGTTTGCAAGTTAACAGCTTTCAGCTGATCCACATGTTTGTTCAGGATTGTATCACCTACCTGAACTTTGTAAGTCATGGGTCCTGACCTCGCATTAACCTCACCTTGTGCCCATATAGGGCCACTTCCATGGTTGAGGCACCAAACTTTGTCCCCTGAATTAAATTGTCTCTCTCACTTAGAGGAGGCATGTGACCAGCATTGACATTCCTGCTGCTGTTTCACCCCAACCCCGCCGTGGTCCGGGAATATCAGGTTTAACCTGGTGCAGAGTCTTCTCCCCATCAGCAACTCTGCTGGAGCTGTTCCTGTTGTTGCATGAGGGGTGGTCCAATAATCGAACAAGAACCGGGACAGCTTGATATCAAGTGACGCCATAGACTACTTCTTTAAGGTTCAGAGATAGTAGGAACAGCCGACGCTGGAGTCTGAGATAACACAGTGTGGAGGTGGAGAAACACAGCGGGCCAGGCATCATCAGAGGAGCAGGAAAGCTGACGTTTCAGGTCAGGACCCTTCTTCTTTAAGCTTCTTCTTTTAGCCTGTGTTCAAAGTTTGGATCGCTCTTTCTGCCAGACCATTGGATGATAAGTGTTATGAAGCTGTCCTTGAATGCTGAGTGCCATTCAACATGGAAATACTGAGACTTCCTGCTGGTAGATGACGCCCTGTTGACTGTTATGAGTACTTCCAGGTGTCCCTGTATCCCAACCGATGCTTGCAGCTTTTTACTCATCATCTTTGAGTTTGCCAAAGGAACTTTATGTGTGTCCAACCACTTTGAAAGGGTGTCCACAATGACCAGGAACATTGAGCCCATGAAAGGACCAGCATAGTCAACATGTAACTGAGTCGAGGTTTACCGGCCATTCCCACAAATGTGGTGGTGCTGCAATTTTTGTCCTTCTTGACACTCTCGGTGCTGTCCCGCCAACGCAGCTATGCTACCATCTTCATCTTGGAAACCCCTGGAATGACCCTGGAGGAGTTCAACCAGTATTTGGCAGTGACCTTTCCTTGGGACAATCACCCTTGCTCTCCATAGTAATATGCTGTCTTCTGCCGTGATCTGGTTTCGTCAGGTCCAGAAAGGTTTCAATCTGGGTTGTGAAGGCCCTTCTGTTTCTTCCATTACCACCAACAATATTAGTGTCGCTAGGACAGGATCTTCTTGTGTCCACAGTCGAATATTGTCAGCAGTGACTGAAAGGTTGTCCAGGAAGTTCAAAACAGACTCTTCCAGAGGAGACACCACCAGTGCAATATCTGCCAGTGGGAGGCGGCTCAACACATATGCATTAGCCACTTGGCTTCCTGCACGGTAGTCTAACTTGTATGCACTGAGAAGAGCCCAAAGCTGAATTCTACTGGAAGCTACGGGCAGCACCGCCTTGTCTTCCTTCAACTGCCCTAGCAGAGGTTTGTGATCTGTTACTTTGACAAATTCCTGTCCGTAAAGATACTGGTGCAACTTCCTCACACCAAAGATGACCGCTAAGCCTTCCTTCTCTATCTGGATATATTTACGTTCGGCATCAACAAAAGTCGAGGAAACGTATGCTATCAGGCTTTCCTCTCCACTGGGCCACCAGTGAGCTAACACTACCCCGATACCGTACGGAGAGGCATCGCATATCAGCACTACATCTTGCTTTGGATCGTGCTGGGCCAATGCCTTAGATGACAATTGCTGCTTTTTCACTTCCCTAAAGGCTACTTGGCTACGCGACCATTTCCAAAGCTTCCCCTTTTTTCAATAAAAGGTGTAAGGGTGCCAAGATGGAGGCCAGGTTTATATATAAATTTTCCGTAATAACTCATTAACCCAAGGAAAGACTTCAGCTCCGGTACAGAAGCGGGAGCCGGGGCTCCTTTGATCATCCTCACTTTCTCTTCCAACAGGTGTAACCCAGTTTTGTCAGCTCTATAACGCAAGTAGGTCACTTGCAGTGCCTGGAACAGACATTCTTCCCTTCAAAGGCGTACATCCACCTGGGAGAAACTTTTAAGCACTATGTCCAAGTTCTCCAAGTGCTCCTCGTTGGTCTTCCCTGTTATTAGTATGTCATCCAGATAAATGGCAACCTGGGGCAGCCCTTTTAAAATGTTCTCCATGGTCCGCTGGAAAAGCTACAGACCGATGATACCCTAAATAGCAGTCTTGCTTACTGACATAAACTCTGATGGGTATTAATTGTACGTCTGGGACTCCTAATCCAGTCACAATTGCAGGTAGGCATGGCTCATAACTCAGCTTCGTAAAGGATAGCCCCCCCCCGCCAACTTTGTGTACAAGTTCTCTATGCGACGGATTGGGTATTTATCCAGCGGCAAGAAATGGTTTACCGTTTGCTTAAAATCCCCAAAAGGCGAACTGAGCTATCAGACTTCACAATCAGTACGATCAGTGCTGCCCATTTTGCAAACTGCACTGCTTTGATGACCCTACTCTCATCACCACTGAAACAACTGCACAGAGGCTGGTATCCCATCACCAAGTCCCCCTTTATTTACTTGTGCACAGTTCACTGGTGGTGGTCAGCCAGCTCGGAGTCAGTCCCCTTGAACTGAGGAGATTCTAGATCCCCTGCTTATATTGGTCAGCCACAGCTTTCCTGATTGGTCCAGGTTAATAAATACGATCAAGGATCTCATAGTCAATAATGTCCACCTGGTTCCAATCACCACAAATACTTTTCCGTGGAGGGTTTGCGGTACTTAAAATGCTGCACAAATAAGTTGTTGTTTATTCTCTTCCTGAAAATGACTTGGGTAACTTCCTTGACACATGTTTCTTTTTCAAGTCTCCCCCTCTCTACCTGAGATGCTTAGGTAGTTGTTCTTTGCATATTAGCTCAGTGTATCCCTGATGGGTAAATGTAAATAGTGAGCCAGATAGTTCCCAAAGAAAAGCTAATCCTGCCTAACAGTCTGGTGTCCACATTTTACAAAAGGACTTACTGAAATAACTATGCTGACTCTTCCACTGCTATACCAAGAGAATGTTGCACTGTCAGAGGTGCATTGAAATAGGTGCAGGAGTAGACCATTCAGCCCTTCAAGCCTGCACTGGCTTTCAGATGCTCTCTTTCAGCTGAAATGATAAATGCAGGCCCTAACTGCCCACTCAGGTGAGGCTAGGAATTTTTCCACAGTGGCCTAGCCAGAACGTCACTAAAATTAGATTATTAAATCATGATTTGATGTTTATTATCCACAGATTGAATGCTGTGTTTCTTGCATCTCAGCAATGGTTGCATCTTGAGTTGTTTTCAACTTGCAACGCAAGCTGAGAAATTCTCTGATGGTAAAGGATTCTATATGAATACAATCTTTCTCTTCACCATGATGTGGAAACAAAGCCCTGACTGCAACATTTTTGCCTTGTTGCTGTTGTGATCCAATCCAATGTTATATCTGTACAAGTCAGATCCCAGACTGAAATCTGCCTTGATAGATCATACTTTGACTTATTTTAATTTAACAAGGTGGTCTTTCACTGAAACACAAACACTCAATGCTGTAAATTCTGGTTTAACAATA